TAACTGCACGAAACTCAAAGTCTAGATTCCGGTTCCACTGCGTAGCTAGCTGGCGTTCATGCATCCTCATCTATAGCTATCGACTGGTTCTTTTAATGTAGTTGTCCTATGCAACTACATTCTGTAGAGTATGGTAGAGTTGGCTGATGGCGACTAATACGCCGGGAATGGCTATTCCAGTCTCCTATGTCCCTGTAAATAATCTCACCGAACGGGAGAACCCTTCGGTGACGTAGCGGAGTCGGGCTTATAGGCAATTCCAACTCCGACTAGCGGCAATACTAGGCTGACGACTGACACGCACATCTAAGAAAAGGAGAGATTATGCGTGCAATCCTTTCTGAGTGGCGAAAAGAGCATCGAGAACAACCGGTTTCGCTTGATATGATTATATCGCAGTCAATCGCCAAACGTCAACTGGTGACGACAGCGAGCCACAGAAAGCCGACTGACACGATGCAGATTGTATTCCTTGTCAGCAACCATCAGCTGCATATCAATGGTATGCGCGCACACATTTGCCAACTGGTGGGCATCCATTGCAGCACTTCAGTCTTGAAATGGGGCTTAATTGAGCTACCTAGTGAAGCTGTCTAGATCTACTTGGATACGCGCTAAGAGGGGCTAACGAGCACATAGGGTCAGAGGGGGGAAGGCCAATCAACCCACATCATGGCGAAGAGTTAAAGTTCATCGCTGGGTCACTTGGGGTTGGACTTGCCCACGGATTCGACTGAACGCTTCGCTGCCAAATAGAGCAACAGAAAGAGCAAAGTCCGAAAGAGGGCGGATAAACGTCTGCTCAATAGAATGCGTTTGGTGAGAGGGTAACTACGTTGGAGAAGTCAGCCGACAATCACAGATAGCGCTGCACGACTGCCAGCTAGTGGTGGCGCCGGCGTCCTCCACTGCCAGGAATGGCGAGCGAACGCCCACTTGCTAGGTCATTAAGGAATGGAACAGGCCATTTTATTCCCAGTCGAACGACCAAGTAGAGAGGTTTGTTGACACTTTCAAGAGATCTATTACAAAATATGTGGGACACGGGCGTACAAACGGACTTCGTAAGCACGTTCCTTCTGGTCCACAGAACAGGCCCGATACTGGCGGGCAAACACTAGCCGAGCGTTTTTTGGTCCGACAACCTGAGGTACGACCACAGAATCTGAAACGGAAGGTTCAGAACCACCAAAAGACTACCTTCGGGAGGGAGAAGAGGTGTTTGCTCGACGAGAAACAGTGGGTAGAGGGTACTGTCAGGAAGTCGAGGGGTTTTGTCTTCAAGGTCGAAACAGCAACACTGATAGTAGTGAACGCCACTCCAGCTAGCAACGACTTCGGCTTTGGCGCGGCCAAGATCGTGGGCCGAGGCGATAAAATAAAAATAAAATAAAATAAAAAGAATGTGGCAATCACACGCGACGTATAGGCTATAAGCCACTAATTTTTCGTCAATTTTTCGACTATTTTGGCTGTGCAAAATTCACCGGCGAGACCCTGAACATCGAAAACCGAGCGGATGTTTTTTGAATTGGCGGTCGAAGATCTTCAGACTGGCAACGAAGTACATAAAGATGCCTACGGGGCATGTCTGGTCGTAAATGATGCCGTCTGATTTTTTTGTCTAGGTCTTGAAAAGAGTACAACTCGATGCAAAATAGGCGGATACTCAAGGTCGCCAGCTTCGCAGAACCTACGCATTTACAATGGCTTTTCATGTCTATTCAATTCACAAACATACCAATGAGATAAGGCAAAAACTGTGAGCTAGACTGTGGTCTAAATTGCCGCTAGCACAATCTCTGTCAGTCCGCTACGCAATTATCCCGTTAGAACACATGGTAATAAGGTGGGGTGCAACGATTAGCTCTTGAGCAGTCATTAAAAATTCTTGATAAATAAGACTGATGGATTAAGACGGAAAAAGTACCTCTTGAGCACCCTTCGCTCTGCAATCTCCTTGGGTAATAAAAAGCGTGCAATTGTCTTCTGAACAAGGGTACATTTCATTTCAATAAAGAAGGCTCATGGAGAATCATACAATCATTTTCACCAGCCCGTGATCAGCGTCACTGCGCTAACTCACATTTTCTTCGCCTACCAAGTCTTACAGTCGCGCGTGAAAGTCTGCCCCCATGCTTCCCTGTCCGTCACACGCTCATTATCGATCCGCTGCAGGAGACGCCTCCCCTTGTCCGTCTACTGATCGGGTCGCTGTCACGCTAGTCTTGACCCTTCCATC